TAAACTTTCCCCAAGTCCCTGCTCAGAACCCAGCCAGGTTGGATTTGGACCCCTGGTACCTGCTCGAGGAGCCTTTTTGGTGCAATTCTCAGCATTAATGGGGAGAGGCTCCCAGGAAGGTGTGGGATAGCGAATCAGCTGGTCTGCTCAATGGCTGGAGGAACCCAAAGGGAAATGGTCCAGGATGGGGTGGGAGCTGCACCCATGGAGGTCCAGGGACTCAGCAAGCCCCTCCTGTCCTGCAGGAGTCAGAGGACGATGACGACGAGGAAGAGGAGGAGGAAGATGACGATGAAGATGAGGATGATGATGATGACAACGGTGACTCATCAGAGGAAGGCGGTGACTCCTCAGAGTCCAGCAGTGAGGAGGAGAGCGAGGATGGGGACGAGGTGAGGCCGTGGCACGGGGAGGGCACGGGGCCCCCCTCCCCCTGGGCTCAGATAGATCCGTGGCAGAGGAGCCCCCGGGAAGCAGAGGGACACGGGAGGAGAAGGGGAGCAGGATCCCCCCGGTGTGCCCGGGGCGGGCACGAGGAGCAGCCGCGGGGCATAGTCAGGAGCAGCCTCGGGACTGTAGAGGTGCGGGGGGGTGTGCAGAGCCCCCAGTGAGCAGAGAAAAATCTCCTGTCTTTTTCCTGGTGGAGATACTGAGTCTGGTCTCGGCTCCGTTTGCGCCAGTGTGAATGCCGAGTAAGTCACCAGAGTCAAAGCTTTACACCGGTGCAACTGAAATCAGAGTATGCTGGATGGCGCTGGGGCCAGAAACCGTGTCCGTGCCTTGTGCTCGCCACCGGACAGGTGAGGTGTTTCCACCCCCTCGCTGGTCTCAGCTCACGCCTCTTCCTTCCCTGGCTTTAGAGGGGGGAAACTGAGGCACGAGGCGGGTCGGGTAGCCTCCCTCGGATCGTGTAGCGAGGCAGTGGCAGAGGTGAGGGCAGGACCCCGCGCGCTGCTCCGGCACGTCCCCCCCAGCACCCCGAGCTGAGCCCTTGCAAACTCTCCTGGCTCCTGCCCCGCGTCCCTCCTCCACCCCCAGATCCGGGGGGCAGCCGTGGGAGGGTGGGGGTCGCACCCCGGCGGGGAGGGGAGCAGGGGACACGGGGGTGACGATGGACTAACCCTGCCCTGACCTCCCCCTCCTCTCTGCCACCCGCCTCCCAGAACGACGAGGATGACGAGGACGAGGATGATGAGGACGAGGATGACAACGACTCGGAGGGCAGCAGCAGTTCCTCCTCCTCCTCGGGGGACTCTTCCGACTCCGACTCCAACTGATCGGCCAAGCTCTTCGTAACGTCGTTTGGTTTCTTGGTTTCGGTCCCAGATCTCCCCTGCAGCCCCTCAAAATCCTTCCTCCTCTTCCTCCTGCCCCCCCGTGGGACCCCCAGCGCGGGGAGCGGGGGCTGGGGGACCCCTCCACCGAGCTCACACTACGGAGGGGAATCAGGGGCTGCTTCCCCCAGGCTGGGGGGCGAGGAGAGAGCCCCCCACCCCTGCCCCCGCTTCACTCCCGAGGGGGAGCGATTTTTTTTTTTGGAATTTCATCCTTTCCAGGGAGGTGTCTCTCCATCCCTACTCCCATAACCCCCTCGCTACCAGCTCTGGACTTTCTAGAAAGAGAAGAAAAACACACAGGAAAAAAAAAACAAACGAAAAAACCAACAACACCCCCCCCACTTTTTTTTTTAATTAAAAAACCCAGAAATGGGAGGGAAATCCCGTCCCCGCGCAGCCCCTGGGGCAGCGGGCGCGGAGCGCGAGCCGAGGGGCTCAGGACTCAGCCGATGGGACAATGCCTCCCTGCAACCCCCCCAGCCCTCTGCGCACCCCCCAGCATCTTGGGGGTCCTCCCCACCCCTGAAAAAACCTTGTACAGTCTGGAAACTGCCCCGGGAGCTGCCCGGGCTCTCCACATCCACGGCACTTGGGAGCGGCCGGTGACGCGCGGTGTCCCCGCGGGGCTGGGGGTGTGTGAGTGTGAGTGTGTGCGGGGGGCTCCGGGGCCGCCCCCGCCGGGGCCGCGGCTCAGCGTGACCAAGGGGGGGCTCGGGGTCCCCCCGCTCTGTTGTCGGTGGTTGTTGTGCCGTTGTATTTTATTTTATTTTTTTTTTGTTGTTGTTGTTTTTTTTTTTTTTTTTCCTTTTTATAAAACGAGAAAGATCCCATCTTTTATTTTTCATTTTCTCCCTCCCCGTTTTCCCCGCTACCCCTTTTCCCTCCCCTCCTCCCCCAGCCCCCCATTTTCCTCTCTGTCTCTGCTGAAGCTGCTCCTCTCCCTTTGTTCCTGGGGGGGGACCAGAGCTCCCCTCGCCCCAGTTAACCCCAGTAACCTCCAGTTCACGCCCCCCCAGGGGGGTCTCACCCCTTCCCGGGCCATGCTGTAAATATTGGTGTGGTTTGGGTTTATTTTGGGGGGTCAATGCCCCCTTCCTGGGAGGGGGACGGGGCCGCAGGGGCTGGGGTGGGTGCATGGGGGGCCTGTCAGGGGTCCCCCCCATTTTTTTAAGCAGACACGAGCACCAGCAATCCCATGGCACCGCCCTGCAGGGTTCTGTCCCCCCACCCCGTGCCACCCCCCAGAAACCCACTCAGTGTTATTGGGGACCCCCCCAGACCCCCACTCTAATTGGGGGTGGTCTCAAGATTTGTTTTTTCTGCCCCCCCATCCTGTCCCTGGAGAGGAGCTGGGCTGGGGGACAGGAGGATTTGGGGGTTCCCAGAGAAGGGGATGGGGGATTTGAGGGGTTTTTTTCTCTCTAGGGCTGTAATTTATCCATTTTTCTCTTCCCCCAAATCTCTGCAGGGCTGGGGGGCAGAAGGGGGGTCCATGCTGCAGATTTAGGGTTTAGAGGGGAGTCCCTACACCCCCAGCTCTGTCACACCCCCAGGTTTGCTGCTCTCAGCACCCCAAATCCAGCCCCCCACAAAGACATTGGGGACCCCCTCAGCACTGAGGGGAAGGTGGGGACAGTACCTACCCCTTGTCCTGGCCTCAGTTTGGGCTGAAAAAACACCATTTTGGGCAAACTGACCCCAAAGCTGTGGGGAAGGGGGTGAACCCGGGTGCTCCCGCACGGACAATCCCCCCGTGTCCCCCCGGGACCGGGGCCCTGAAGAGAACCCAGATGGTGTCCCCCCCTCAGTGTCCGTCTGTCTGTCCCTCTGTTTCCCCCTCCCCATTACCCCAATCCATTTGGGATTTTCCTTTCATTTTCTTCCCAATTTTTAATCGCCGCCCCTCCCAAAATCCCCTAAGGGGAACCCCCCATCCCTTTTTTTCTGCTGAATGTACCCAGCACTGTCGTGTTTTAGTGGATGTGTTTTTAGTACAAAAAAAAAGACAAAAAAAATTAAACCCCACCTTTTTTTTCCCCACCTTTTTTTCTGTTAAAAAAAAAAAAAAAAGGTAAAAAAAAAAAAAAATTAAATAATAAAAAAGAAAAATTCTTACAGCGCCGACAATTTGGGAGGGGGGGGAAAGACGTTTGCGCTGCAAGAGAATTCCTGAGTGCATTTTGGCACTGCCACAAAATCCCGGGATCCTTTAGATGGAAGTTCTTGTGAATTACGTTAAAAAAAAAAAGGCAAAAAAACACCAAAAAAAAAAAAAAGATAAAAAAAAAAAATCATCTTTTTTTTCTAATATTTAAAGAGTGTTTTTGTAGGTTTAAAAAAAAGACAAAAAAAAAAGGAAAAAAAAAAAAAAAAAAGAAAAATAATAATAATCCCGACTCGGAATTTGTACGGCTGCGCGGGACGCGGGGGTCGCGTCCCCGGTTTCCCGGTTTGCTTGGGGTTTCGGTTCTTTTTGTTTTGTTTTGTTTCGTTTCGTTTATTTTTGAGTTTTTTGGGGTTTTTTGTTTTTCCTTTTTTTCTTTTTTTTTTTTTTTTTTTTTTTTTTGTATAATAAGCTGAAAAATAATGTTTCTGTTCTCATGTCATTACTATAAAAAATAAAACTTTAGGAAAAAAAAAGAACAAGTGTGAGAAGTGTTTTTCCTCCCTCTTGGGGGGGATCCAGTGCGGGAGGGAATCCCTGGGGGTCATTTCTGGGGGCTGATGGCACTGCGGGATCCACGGGGATCTGCTGGTGGGGAGCGGGTGGGATCTGGAATGTCAGAGGGGTCTGTAGGGATGGGGATCGGGGGTCTGGGGGTCTGTAAGGGTAGAAGGAATCTGTAGGGGTGGGGGATCCTTGGGATGGGGCTCCAGAGGAATGGGGGGATCCTTGGGATGGGGGAACCCCTGGGGGCGGTGGGTCCCTGGGGTGGGGGATCCTTGGGACTGCTGGGGTCCCTGGAGGTCTGGGGGTCCGGGGTTCGGGG